GTGTGTTCAATACTTTTTCCCTGTGCCATTCCACATTATTACAAATAACTTCATTTCTGGACATTTATGGTTTGATTTCTTTGTATGTATGGATCATTAGGGTTGTTACCGACATCTGGTGAAAATTTCATGTCATTAGCACCTCTAGTAATATATTTACTGAGAAAAATGGGGACGTGTTTGATACTTATTTTACCCGCTGTATATCATATGTTACATTATTACAGAGGATTTCTTTCATCCATTTATATTTTTATCTGTCCACACACACGTCTAAAACAAAGGCTGAACTACTCGTGTTCCTCCACTGGGTGTGACAGGGTTACAGTGGTGCACCATAGCAAAAAGTCAGGAACTGTAAACAGAAAACAATAAACAATCACACGATGTAAACAATACATGAAAACGGAACAAAGAGATGTTCCACACATATTTCCATTATTTAACATGTTTAAAACTCTGATTGTTGATGGGACGAGGGACCTTCAGAAATGTCTCAAGCCGGGTACACACTGGACTCGTTTTGAGCAGCCAAAGCAGCCAGTTTACATGCAAAGTCTATGGTGGACACGCATCTAGGAGCAGTGCGGCGCAGTAGGATAGCGGCAAGGTAGCGGTAGGATGTGGCAGAGTGTTTTCCGTACATGCGGTGCGTTCAAAGCTGCGGCTGCTTGAGTTCAAAAAAACTGAACTTTTTCTGCTCGACGCGTCACAGCAACCAATGAGAGAGAATAATTTTTCCATGTGACGGTTTCCTGAACTTGAAACAGACAGACAGGAGCTCTTTAGCTGAAATCGACCGTCTATAGTTGGTGTTCTGGTAGGAGATATCAGCACCGATGTGGGTCAGTGGCTCGTTAAACTGACCGCGATGTTAAACTGGGTTCGGGACAAAAAATAGTTTGTCAGCTCCTGGAGTGGTGAAACCGAACAGACTGCCTCTAAATTATCTGGTGAATTAATTATCTGGTGTGCGCAACGTTCGCTTGCTTTTCAGTAAATAAGGCAAAGTCATTTTCTTTATTTCATTTTTAATTCACCAGTCATTAAAGACAGGCCAGAAAAAACCAAGATGCTCCTCCCTCTACAGACACGCGTCTAGTCTGTGTCCTGGTCTGAACGTAGTGCATCCAACTTGAGGCGTCAGGTGTATTTTTGCTGCTCAAAATGCGTTCGGTGTGAACCCGGCTTCAGACTGCAGCTGAAAGAACTGCTCAGAGCCCTCGAGGTCCTGGAGGGAACTGGGCCTGTTGTTCATGATGTATGTCAGTTTTGTCAACATTGTCATTTTACCCTCCATCTCGGAGGTGTCCAGAGGGAGGTCCAGGACCCAGCTGGATCTCCTGACCAGCTTGTTTTGTCTCTTCCTGTCCCTCTCAGTGCAGCCTCTCCCCAGCAGACCGCATCACAAAACAATGCAAATTTCACCACAGTGTGAAATAAAGTTTTCAACAGAGTTCAACTCCAAAACCTCAGTTTCCTCAGCTAATGATGGTGACATTAGTTCTTCTTGTACACAGTATTTGTGTTAGAGGACCGGTCCAGTTTGTTGTTGATCTGTCAACCAGGTTTAGATTTTAACACAGTTTTAGAAGTCCAAACCCAGAATGTTCACTGGTGTTGCAGCTGATCAACCTCTCCTTCGACTTGGTGTTGACGTAAAGGTGGTAAACCTCACAGCAGCTGATAACCAGTGATGACCTTCCTGACACACAGTCCTGTAGGATCACACACTGTGGTCTGTCAGCTAGTTGACTGTCCATTCCAGGTTCTTACAGTTTTCACTTAGTGAAGGCTGAATGGTGCTGAACACACTGGAGAAGCTGGAAAACGTAACCCTCACAGGGTTTCCAGGGTTGTCCAGGTAGGAGAGGGCTCTCTGCAGCAGGTACATGATTATATTGTCCCCTACCATTTCTGGAAAACTTGCAAGCTGAAGGGGATCCAGTTCAGAGCTTGACAGAGGTGGCAAAAGTGGTTCAGCATCATCCTCTCCAATGTCTTCATCAGGTGAGAGGTCAACTGGCCTGAGGTGGCCACAGGAAGCTTTCAACATGCAGTCACCCTATAGGTTGAGGTTCAGGTTGGAGATGTGCTGATCTGCAGAATGTTTGTTTCCACACACCTTTCAAAGTCCAGGAGACAGACGGCACAGAGCTCCCACTGCTGGATGTGTCACAACACAGGTTTCTTCCTGCCGGGGTCTCCACTTCGTCTCTGCATCCACCGTTAGACCACAAATCACAGAGCACCACACTTTTCTGCAGACAGATTCCTCTGTGCACATTGTCTGCCAGGAGATTTTGTTCATTTGACTCTTTACGAGTGTCTAGAAGTGTTATATAAATGGACATACATTCTGACTGCTTCGGACAGTTGCTCCTCAAACTATCCATGTTGTTTGGAGGCACAATAACTGGATTCTGGAAGCTGAGTAGTTGAAGCAAAATTATGCGATTGCTGTTCGAACGTAAACAAATTCACACAAAAGAGTTCTGGATGTATCCATATAGACACAAAATATGGAGCCGTTTACAAGGAATGACGTAGCGGCTCGTTTTGTGCATGCTCATTATGAGCGGGCTATACAAACCAAAACAAAGATGGAACTGATTTGATCATTTTTCTACATATAACCTGGTTAATAAATGAGAAGAAATGGTAAATGATGCCTAAATGTGATGTCAGGTCTTATTCCAGGTCTGGTCCTTTGTCGAACAAATAAAAACTATTTGTTTTCTTTACAGCCATCGACACCATGTCCTTCACGATCAAAACGTTGATAAAAGAACCTGCATCCCGATGAACCACATGTCCCCTGATCAGGCTCCTTACACTGTCTGCAACAGCTCTTTGTCTGAGTACGGAGTTCTGGGTGAGTCCGTTAAAGACTGAAAACTGTGACCATCATCAGAAACTATCCTGAGGATAGCAACAAAGACTTCACTGTTTTTATTATTCTCTTGCAGGTTTCGAGCTGGGCTTTGCCATGGCCAGTCCCAACGCTCTGGTTCTGTGGGAGGCCCAGTTTGGAGACTTTCACAACACAGCTCAGTGCATCCTGGACCAGTTCATCAGCTCAGGACAGGCCAAATGGGTCCGACAGAACGGCATCGTGCTGCTGCTCCCTCACGGCATGGAGGGGATGGTAGGAAGCAAAAAAAAAAACTGTTTCTTTTGTGTAAGGTCTCAGTTTGATGCTGCAGGACCAGAATCTGGGTTTCACCACCATCAAATCCTTCTCTTACAACCTTTGGTATTTTTTATTTGGGTTAACTGTCTGAACTTTCCTTTATGCCTCTACATAGATATTTTTGTCTCTCTCAGGGTCCAGAACACTCATCTGCCCGTCCTGAAAGGTTTCTACAGATGTGCAATGATGACCCAGATGTTTTTCCTGTGAGTTTGTGTTAAAACCTTTTTATTGAGACTTCAGAACTCTTGTAACTTCTAAAATCATGTAGTTCATGTAGTTAACTCTGAAAATTAACCAGCTGATTTACATCATTAAAGATTCAATCTGAAGTCGAGATGAATTATTGGTTCTTTCCAGATAATCATCATTAGTTCACTGGCTTTTAAAAATCTTTATACATGAATGAAAAACAAAAGCAGCCATGTCAGTGCTGTAGCTGTGAAACAGAAACATCTGGATATTTATTTCAAATAAAATAGATTTTTAAAGGGGTTTTAAATGCTTGCCTATTTGTACCTAGTTCCTCCCTGGAGCTCAGTCTGCACCCCTCCCCAGAAAGCATTGTTGTGAAGATGTGCTGAAGTGGGGGTGTCAGAAATGGTAGGAGATTCCTAAAGATACAGAGGCCAATTTCAAGGTATTTAGATAAGCTAAGATGCGAAGTCAATTTTATTTTTGATATATACAGCATTTTTATAGCAACTGAAGTTAGGATAGTTACTTGATTATGGTATAGAATTGAACTATGTGCCTGAAAAATACATAATACCCCCATTTTAATTATGCTAACTAGGAATAGCTTTGAAGCTACAGAGGCTAAATTATTTTGTCAATCAACAGTTCTAATTACAAAGAAAATTTAAACTTATAAATGAGAGTTCAAGTTAATTTAGAGAAACAAATGGATTTTAATATAAACAGCAGCATTACGTTGACAGGAGGTAATGTTTGTGACTTTGCAGTAAAATTACTAACAAAATCCCAGCAGTTATCTCGAGGAGCACAAGGAACAGGAAAACTACAAGGAGGACCAGAACTGTGGCTCTGCTGGTAAATAGAGAGACCTGGACTGAACATATAGGACATGGTAAATGGGACAGTGGAGACACCTGAGCTATGTGCTGAATTGGGAACAGGTGAAAGTGGGCGTGGCAGGCTGAGAGGAGGAGCTAAACTGAGAGACAGTGAATGACTGCAGACACTGAGAAACACAGGACCAAACCCAAAGATCATAGACCATCACTAACGCTAATCCTGACAATAGAAGAGAGACGAGAACTGATCCATGAGGTACACCTCAAGCACCACCTTTTTGTTGAATCACTATTTGGCTTGTATTTGTTTTCTTTAGACATTTTCAGAGGACTTTGCAACACATCAGCTTCATGACTGTAACTGGATTGTGGTCAATTGTTCAACTCCTGCAAACTACTTCCATGTTCTCCGTAGACAGATCCTGCTGCCGTTCAGAAAGCCTGTAAGTCACGCTCATGGTGAACACTGAGTCAACAGCTCAAATAGTTCAACTCTTTTTTTTTCTTTTGATGATTTCTATAACGGCAGCTCATCGTGTTTACGCCAAAGTCACTGTTGCGCCACCCTGAGGCCAAGTCGAGCTTTGATGACATGTTGCCTGGTGAGTACCGCCAGAATGAAACATGCAGGAGATAAGGTATCATTATCAATAGGCTTGTTTTCCAACCCGAAGGTACCCACTTCCTGCGTCTCATTCCGGAGGACGGGCCTGCAGCCGTCAGCCCAGAGGAAGTGAAAAGAGTCATTTTCTGCACCGGCAAGATTTACTACGAACTGATCAGGGAACGGAAGAACAGAGGCCTGGATAAAGCTGTCGCTGTTGTTCGTGTTGAGCAGGTGATTGACGCCATCTCTTCTTGAAGATACTGCTCTGATTATATGCAGGACCTCAGATTAAACTTACAGAAATCAAATAAAATGACACGCGATAAAAATGAACCACAGTGTTGAATTTAAAGTATTTTTCACGCGTTGCAGCTCTCACCGTTTCCTTTCGACCTCGTGAAAGCAGAGACGGATCGATACCTGAACGCTGAGCTGGTCTGGTGTCAGGAGGAGCACAAGAATCAGGGATACTATGACTACGTCAAGCCCCGCCTCCGTACTACAATTGGACGAACACGCCCCATCCGGTAAGTATGATTCAAGGTGACTTTGTACTCCCGGTGTCTCTGAGAGCAGCAGCAGCATGAAGACAGAAAGTGTTAAACGTTCTGCAACTTTGAAAAACGTCTGTCCGGAAGTGACTAAGACTGGTACAGGACCAGTACATAAGAACCAGTGTGGCTTCAGCAATTTTGCATTTGTCACAAAAAGGAGTGATTTCCAGATAAATATGAGCTAGTTTGCTTTTGGAGAAGTGGGCTGTATGTATCACTTTAAACTGAATAAGACAATAGCGTGCACACAGAGCTGTATTGACAAGTTTAAGTATAGAGGCCCACATCACATCTGGAATATTCACGTTTAAGTCGTTCTCCTATAGAGTTTTGAGTTTGGGTGAGAAGGTCTCTGTTGTTTAACATTGTAGAGCCATGAAATCAGCAGAATGGTTTCCAACAGTGTGGACTCTGGCATATAAACTGAGCCTAAAAGATGAGATTGAATAAAGTTTCTGGCTTGTAGATACCTAAAGAAGTGGGATTGTGGTAAACCATATTTATTGCTAAGTTGTTCAAATGATGCTAATTTCTTCCCTATGAAAAGCTCTTTGAAATGAGTAAGACCCTTCCTGTGCCACTTTAGGAACACCCCCATCCTGAGCACATTGTTTAAAGAAATGATTAGGACTTAAAAGGGAAAAGGGGATATTATTAAGCAAAATTGACTTTTTTGAGCTTTAGATCATGTTATAATGTCATTAACCCAGAGTGTTGCTTTGACTCATTCATGCATATTTGAGAAATCCTTGAATCTCCTGTAGTAGCCGTGTGGAGCTGCTTTCGCTTGCTGCTACAAAACACCTCCTATTTGTACAAAGCTCCTCCCTGGAGCTCAGTCTGCAGCTGAGCTCCCGCCCCACAGAGCACCCCTCACCTGAAGCATTGTTGTGAAGACGTGCTGAAGTGAGAAACAGAAGTGGGAATGTCAGAAATAGTAGGAGGTTCTTAAAGAGACAGAAGCCACTTTCAAGGTGTTTTGATAGGCAATCATGTAAAGTCAAATTTATTTTTGATATATACAGCATTTTCATAACAACTGAAGGTAACATTAATTGTGGTATAGAATTAAACTATGTGGCTGGAAAATCAATAATACCGCCCCTTTAAAAAGAATCAGCTGTCTACAGTGAGATCATTCAGAACCCTACAACCAGAGCGTTCTGTGGTAGTAACTGAGAGTCAGGTCCGTTCATTGGACTGAGTGTTAATGTTGGCCCAGATTTAAAGGAGACCAATTATGGGTCCTAGAAAATTTTATGGTTGTCTGTGGGCTATCCAGACCATGTTCATTCAGTTTAATGCACAAAATAATTCTCAGATAATAAAATTTCCCATTTTCTAGTTCTGCCTGCTCTGACTTCTGTTCAGAAGAGCTGTTTATGTTAATGAGCTCTGTTGGTAACGCCCTCCAAAGCCAGCGTTTATGTTAGCATGGCTAATAATAGCAGAAGCTCCGTTGTACAAC